TTAGCACGTTAGTTTGCTGACAGTAGAGTACACAGCACTTAGCAGCTGGTTTGTGGAACCATCAGTCAGGAAATTGTATGATAAATAGGAGGGAGCCAGGTTTAGTGGCACTTCCTTCTGCTTCAGCAGTTTTAACTGGAGTTTGGAAAAGTCATCATGTGGTGTTTTGTCAAGGGCCAGAACAGGCGATGGCTGCGGTGCCGTGACTTATTACACATACACTTGAGTTATGATGCGCCACAGCTGCGCTGCTCATGTGTAAATAATAAACCATGAGGTGGATAATTATGGTGGCTGCTGGCGACGTGGGCCTGTTCTTGTCATATGGGTTTTTTTTGGACAGTTTCTTGGGCCCGTGATGGAGTGTGCGGCGGATCTTCCAGATAGAAACGACAAGCCAAGATGCAAGGGAAGCATTTGGGGCGTGAGGATCAGGCTTTTTTCTGTCTCTCTTCTTCTTTTCCTCAGGCTTCTTGTTGTGTGATACGGAAGGATGCTCCCCTTCTGCGTTTTACTCTTTGTTTATACTGTTAAGTTATGGTCAGGCATGTCTTCAATTGGATGAGGTGTTCCATTGCATTTTTGCAGAAAGTGGCTTAAGAGGTGTCATTCCCACTGATAAATGACATAAAGTAAATTGTTTGAGTAGATTTTATCAGTCCGGGAGGCTTAAGAGGTGTCATTCCCACTGATAAATGACATAAATTGTTTGAGTAGATTTTATCAGTCCAGGATAAGTTGTTTTAAACTAAATCAAGAGGGAAATAAATAGAAACAGTAAAATTCTTAAACCTATAACCAGAGGTCTTTGGCCAAGTCAGATCATAACCATAACTTTTTGATGTTGACTTAGCCTAATTCCAGAATGCAGAATTCATACATTTCCTTGGGACATAAGACTGTGTAAACAGTGCTGTAGGATGCCTCACAGATTTTCAGTCAGAATTAACTTTTACACTCACAAAACACACTCAACAGTGAGAAATGACTGCAGTAATTGTGTCATGTTTTCCTCTCAGGTGTTTTTACAGTGCTTGATCATTTTCTCTTTCATCCCGAAAAAAGGAAAGAGGGTGGGACAGAGATGTTGAAATAAAATCCCGTTCGAATAATTTCTCAAAATTAAAAGATGGAAATGCCTTTTAAATATCCATGATAGTATTGTAAGATTTCCTTGGAGAAGAGAGTTTTATAATGCCCAGGTATACTCTCTTGATTTTATAGGAATAACAGGTTTGTCTTCACCCCTATGCACATAACACCTGTAACTTTATTATAAATACTCATATAATAGATAATGACTATATAAGTTCCTGCATCTATGAGGTATATATTGAATGTGGAACTAATTCACATTTTGAGCCCTGTGTGTTTAAAAAATGTGGCTCTGGCTGGTTTGGTTCAGTGGATAGAGCGTCGGCCTCCGGACTGAAATGTCCCGGGTTCCATTCTGGTCAAGGGCACATGCTGGGGTTGCAGGCTCGATCCCCACTAGGGGGCATGCAGGAGGCAGCCAATCAATGATTCTCTCTCATCATTGATGTTTCTGTCTCTCTCTCCCTCTCCCTTCCTCTCTGAAATAAATAAAATTATGTTTAAAAAACAAGAGGAAAATGTGGATTTGTGCTTTGTCATAATGCACAGTGCACCCACAGAGAGAAAGTCAGGTACAGTTAATACCCACTTATTTGGTGGAGAGAGTTTAATCAGGCAGAACACAGCCAAGAGCGAAGAGACAAGGAAGTAAAAATATCTTCCAACTCTTGACATAGTTGTCACAATTTACCTCAAAGCGGCCATATAAAATGGTACAGGGGAGAAGCCTTTCGGAGGTGGGTTAGACCTCATGAATGCTTACTTCATGCACAGTTCTATCAGGTTTATTTCCCTGATTTCCAAGAGCAGATGGCATGTGTTAAGTTTGAAGTCTGCTGGAGGCAAGCATGTTCTCATCAGCGGCTGCTGAGAGGAAAGGAAGAGGAAGAAGAGCCGTCTCCTGGCCATCCACCTGACCCCAGACTGGAGTCGGATTCACTTGGGCCTGTTTCCAAATTTAAAATCGGGAAACATTCACTGAGTGTGGTGTGTCAGACTTTCCAACTAGTGGTAAAGATTGCTCCACTTCACATTACATTGTTTTCAGAAGGATGAGTGATTTTTATTGAAAATGGTTAAATAAAGTAGGGCATTCTGCTCTGAGTTATGTGGAGCGCTGCCTGTGACAACCATGGTGGATAAACTTTTAAACTTGGCCGACCAACTATCCAGATTTCCCTTACAAAACACCCAACTCCAACACCTGTTAATAGTAAGTCCTCACTGGTACACGTAAAATATGATTGCTTTTTTTCATACGCACTCTATAAAATGCATAACGTGTGGGAGACAGGATCGGGTGGTTAGCATAGCCCTCACCCGTTGAATCCCAGCATCGTCGCACATCCTAATATCACAGCGGCAATGATAGGACTGTACCAAGACGGTCCCTTTCCTTCCCCTGAACCGCCCTCTCACCGCTTTATCTGACAAGAAGCACAAAATACCGCGAGTAATTGACATTTTCAGTACAATGGTCTTTTTCCAGCCACGGAAGTTCCCTAGGTTCTAAATCTGGTGGAATCACAACTTTGAATTCTATCTATGCTATGTTAATAGTTTTTCACGCTTACTGTTTTTTTTCTCATAACCATACTGTTAGATTTCCAAAGGAAGGGCAAAGTCCAACACAAGGGAAATAAGACATAATTTTATTTACTTATTTTTGTAAACTTTATCTTTCAGTGACAGTTTATATTTAGTATTGTTTTTGTATTAGATTCAGGTGTATAACGTAGTTATTACATAATCATGTCCTTTACAAAGTGATCTCCCCAATATTTCAAGTACCCCCCTGGCACCATACATAGTTATTACAATATTGTTGACTGTATTCCTTCTCTGTGCTGTACTTTATGTCCCTCTGAGTATCTTGTAACCACCAATTCGTAGTTCTTAATCCCTTTACCTTTTTCACCCAGTTCCCCAAACCCTCTCCCCTCTGGGAACCATCAATCTGTTCTCTGCATTTATGAGTCTGTTTCTGTTTTATTTGTTGATTTCATATGGAGTTATTTTAATGTCATAAGAAAGAAGACAAAAAGAAATAAGCCAGACAGAGAAAGTCAGATCTCACATGATTTTACTTACATGTGGAATCTAAAGAACAAAATAAATAAACAAAATAGAAAATACATAGTTTTAAAAAGTTTGTTAGGTTTACTAGTGTATTCTAAAAGATGCTTGTTGAAGATTTAGAAAAGAGAAACGTATGGGGAGGAAAATGAGAACCACTTGAATTCCCACATAGGCACTCACAATAGCCCTCCACTGGGACATAAGGAGCTCCTGGTGGGGGTGGGGGTGGGGGGTGAGGTACTGGTTACACCCTTTTCTGTGTTTGGCACAGCACCAGCACCCAACACACACACTCCGCCCTCAGGGTTCCGTGTTGCTTCTTGCAGCCATCATTTGGAATTGCCTGTACCACCTGCTACCCTCAGGTCTAGGCAGATCTTCAGACTTGTAGAAATAGCTCAAAGCCCTTTGGAGGCACGTTGATGTACACATCAATTCCTGGGAGTGTTGCCAGTTCACGGGCAACAGCAGCACGATGGCTGTGTGCAGGCCCCGCTGCGTGTGGAAGGCGCTATTGAAGAACAAGTTCGGCTTGTTTGCTGTAACATCAGGCTTACATAAAGCCCAGGAGGCACACCCCCAGGTTTTGAAGTTCTTTATTTTGCTTCTTGAAACTTGGTAAAAACTGGAGTGTCAGTTACAAAATATCCCCCATGGTTCTAATGATAAAATGTAGCAAAACTCCAGTTTTTGCAGTGAACCACTATTTAGGGGGGGAGGGGGGGAAATACTTCCAGATTTGTCAGACAATTAGCATAAATTACTACAAGGGGAGCAGAAGAACTATTGTTAAGTGTGCACACAGGAGCCCAGGAAACGGTGAACTCCAGCCTGAGCAGAACAAGATGGGAGGCTGGTCTGGAGCCAAGGTGAATGTTAGGGCTGAAAGGTAGGAAGCCCTCAGTTTGCCCCAAACCACCCATTGTAAGTCCGAGGGGGTCCGCTCCTCTCCTGCAGCAAGGCCAGGTAGCGTTTCTGCCACCAACCTATGGATTTGCTGCCCCAGTGTCAGGACTGTGGAGGTATAACCCAGGCCAAGAAAGGGAGCATGCATTTAAATGACCAAAATGTGTGTTTCTTGTGTGTAGTGTGAGTATGGTATGTGGGGGGTGTGTGTGGGTATGTGTTGTGTATGTGGTGTATCTGTGGTGTGTGTGGAAGTGGGATGTATGTGGGGGATGTATTGTGTCGGGTGTATATGTATGGAATGTGGGGTTGGTGTGAGGATATGTGTTGTGTATGTGGTGCATTGTATGTGTATATGAGATGTGTCTGTGTGGTATGCATGGTGTACGTGTGGTATGTGCAGTTTGTGTGGGGGTATGTTGTGTGTGATATATGTATGTGGGGTGTTGTGTGTATGCCATGGATTTCAGCAGGGATTTTAGAATAGACTCCTTCCCTTAAAAAGCACCATGGGTATAGGAGAAACGAAACTAATATTTATATTTCATTTTGGTCTAAAATTCACTTGACAGTGTAATTTAGAATAACTAAGTGTCTCGTAATCTGTTTCCTTTGACTTTGTGACCCAGTCTTCCCGTCCTGGCCAGCCTTTCCCCCAGGGTAGGCTCGGTGCTTTTCTTTCTTGCTTCCCTCTGTAGGCGTTGGTTGCATTCATAGGCTCTGCTTTCTCAGGTGCAGGTGGTAAGGCCTTGGTCATACTTCTGCGTTATGGAGCCTCATAATGAACTTGAAAGAGCTCTCCCACAAATTCTTAAAGGAGGCTCAGCATACATCATGAAGACAGTACCGCAGCGTTGCTTCACGGGTTGGAATCCTGTTCCAAAGTGTTCTTTTCATATAGGTCGGACTTTCTTTTTCAGACCCTCCTCACCTGTTTCCTGCCTTCCACCCTCCTGTGCCAATCGATGCCAGACATCACGAGGGGCGTTACCATTATGATCCGTCTCCGATTCCTCCACTGCATGTGTAAGTATTAAAACCGTACCCAGTAATGAAACAGAACAAAATACCAGCTTCTGCTATCTCCGGACCTTTTGTTTTCAGCATGGCTATTGGGCGTTAAGGATGTGATAGAAGAATAAGGTTTACTTTTGAAATATAGCAAGCCTATCTATTCCTGGGCCTACTGAAACAAATCCCAATGCTTCCTGAAAAACGCCCGTCATACTATATACAGTAGGTCCTCGGGTTACATCGTCGGAGATCCGTTCCTACGGCGCCTCGTAACGCGATTTTTGCCGTAAGTTGGAACCCACCTACATGAGCACCTACGTCACTCACATGGAGCACATACACAGCAGTAATGAAGTGAAACAGGAAAAAAAATTTAAAAGAAAGATAACAATTCCTGACCTTTACTTGTGGTAAATAAATAATAAAAAACATTAAGCACATATGTACATACGTCGAAATGATGGAACTTTTTTTTTTATAAATAAATGGGAGATGGTGACGTAACCACGAAACGACATACGTCGAGTCTGATGTAACCCGAGGACTGCCTGTAGTAGGTAATTCCTATCTCGTTTGGTGATGTGTGTTCTGTTGGCTGTAAATACTAAATTAAAAAGTAGAGGCCTAATAGAAGGATACCACACAGAATATGTATTTGGTTGAGAATGCCTTTGAAGTTTTTCATGCTAAACTTTCTGTGATGTGAAAGTCTTGTCCCAGGGATCACATGAATCGTAATGAAATTTCCATGGTAAATTTCATAGCCCGGTGGTGTGTACACCAATAGTCACTTGATTGATGGGAATGTCACCCAAACAAAATGGCAAATGTGATTGAGCACATGGTTTACACAAAGATAAAAGGAAAGAATGGTGGTGATAACATACATTAGGAAAGGAAGAAGAGCATCTTGTGGAAATAAATATTATCTTACTCAGTTTGGCGGGAAAAGAAATAGTAGACGTACAAACTAAAATGTGTGTGCGTATGTGTGTGTGTTTGTGTATGTATTTGTGTATGTATGTGTTTTTAGTACTGTCCCGATAACTAGAATCATGTTCTAGGAAGGGCTGCCCTTTACAAATGGATACACACACAAACACACACACACACACACACACACACACACACATGCATTTAGTTGTATGTAATCACCCTTCATTCTGAGACAGTAAAGTTAGAAAAGCACAAATAATACTTTGAAGAGTAATGCTGGTTATTTAGATGGTGGATTGCATCTCCCTGGCTATTAGTTACAGCTGTGTAATTACATATGTGCCAAAGAAAAATGAAGTTGTTTTAAAACAAGTCCTCCTCTGTGAACAGAATTAATTGATATTAACAACCCTAACTATGTGCCCAAGTACACATATAATATTTTACCAACCGCTTTTTGGACCCGTCCTCCATTGCTAAATTGTAATTTCAGAGCAGCTTTGCCTGGAGGTAAGTAATAAATCTGTGTTGCAGACTTCCATAAGCATTATAGGAGAAGTGAGTATTTATAGGGAGAAAACATAAAAACTTGTGACTTTTTTCTCACTTTTCACGGGAACATAAGAATTTCCAGGGTTCTGAAGCTTGCTAGAAATACACTCAGATAAAACCAAGAAGCCAATTTAAAATGCCCTATACAAAGGGGAGGAAATTCCAAATTCAGGCTTAAACCTGCAGTGTAATTCACCCGTTACACAGAGGTTTTGCATGGCTGATTCTCCCAGACTCTACAGTCTCTGCAGTGATGTAGTAATTTAAATCAGATTTTCTGTGGAATTTCAGAGTTTTTTTCACTCTTTCAAAATCATGTTATAGAAAAATTTCAAAACACGAGTCTATGTGATTGAATGAACTGGTTCCTCTCGGTTTATTATAGCTTGCCTTGTAATTAAATCCAAATAGGAATTTATCAATACAACCCCAGGTATTGGTTCTTTGGCAGAATATAACAATAGCAAGCCCTCCTATAGTCCACACTATGTGCCCTCGGCCCTGATCGCCATGCCTACAGTGTTAGCTCGCTAGTGATAAAAACACCACAAGATAATTGAGGGTGAGTTTGGAGAATCCTGGGGGAAGGGCTTGCATTTCAGATATGACGGGTGAACTGGGATTTCTACAGATTTTAGTACTTCCTTCTTTTCCAGCCAAGCTTTAGGACACTTTAGCAGCAGTTGACTAAATTGTCCTCCAAAGATTCATAATGTAAGGCTGATAAATAACACTGAGCCTCAAAGGAGAAGTTCTGGAAGGTTCCGAGAGGAAATGTCATCACTGTGAGTGAAGAGCGTGGGGGGAGCCTGGGTCTCTGGCCTCCTAGCAGGGTCCTGGCTGGAGACACTGAGTTTATGAAGTAGGAGCTGGGAAGCTAGTGCACACCACACCTCCGTGCCTCTATAATACGACATTGTCTCTGCTTTGCCCTCAGTGACCTTCTGGCCCTGCATGGCAAGGGCCTGCGTAAACTCCCCACCCTTAGCTGGCTGTTCCTCACAGCGCCCTGTGTGTGCCTTTATCTTGCCTGATCAGTTACTGTTTAGTGGTCACTGTTCCTGTTAGTTTTGCGGGCAGTGCCCTGCACTCCCTCCGCCAGGTACTTTGTAAAAGGTGCCCAGGAGACACCCACGCTGTCCATTCAGGAAATCAGCGGACGAGCAGTCACAGAGCTTGAATCCGATACCTGAAGTCCAAAATGCGTGCTATAGAATTACATTATAGAAAACGAGACCGAGTGAGCTTACTGTAAGCTGTTAGAATATATACTTGTAATTATAAGAAGACAAAATCTGCGGGCATTCTCATTATTTTGTACACAGAGTTGTTCTTCTGGTGCCAACTTTAAAAAGTCAATGATAAGTCTTGAAAACAGGATTTGTGTTGCTGATGGAAATGCTCGCAGACCTCTGTTAGGAGAGATGGCAGGCACTGCAATAATTATGCTATCATATGTTATCATTAAAGATTCTATTGAAAGAGGTTTATAAATTGCTCTTATTTTTAGATAAACCACCCTATATTAAGGCATCAGCGATACTGTGCAGAATTAAATTAAAATCTCATAAAGTGAAATATGTTCTGTATTAGCTGTTTGACACTTAATTTGCCTCTGAATGAGTCGAGGAAATCACAAATTAACCTGCCTTTGTTTTTTCAACCATGGCTTATTAGGTGTTAGAACAACTGCAGTTACAGCCTAATAATGGCCATCAAGCCTTATAAATATGTGCAGAAATATGTCAGTTTGTGTTAAAGAACCCAGTGTGTTAAATGGAATGTCTTTAGGTTACTCTACGTACTCTCAATGTTATTTCACCATTTATGGTGAGGCAGTGTGGATAAGCATATAGAATCTTACTTTTTTTTTTTCAAATACAGTACTGACAGTAACATTAGAATTTATTGGTATTTCCTTTCTCGACTAAAATCATGAACTTAGACTAAGAATTTATAAGTAGGACATGAAGTATTATCTTTCCTTGAGTTGTCACATAACGATTGTCACATAAAATGTACAATTCCTGCATTATGCGTATTTAATTCAAGTGGTTTGAAAATTAGGATACATTGGATATCAAGAACTTTATCCTTTTTTTTTTTTTTTTCGAAAATTCTCCACTGATTTCACTAGGACTTATGCTCTCTCAAATTATTTGCTTTGACCACAGATTTGATGCTTTATTAAGCCATATAGAAAAAAATACCAGTATTTTAGAAAAAATCTTAATGAATACATTTTATTATATTACTGAGATTATTTGGCGCATAGACAGAAAACAAATCAAATTCACATAGTCAAGGCAGTAACTTTATGTGAATATTTACTTCTTTGCCTGCTCTGTATACCATATTTTGTTTTGTTTATACCAGGGCTTTTCCTTGCACAATTCCATGAGGCAGTATTGTATTCTATGGGAATGGGTGATGCTGTAGGCCAAAAATTACTATTGTTTTAAAAAATCATTTGGAAATTTAGGCAGTTGGAATATTACATCCCCTCCCCCAGAATACAGATATATTTTTAAATGACTGCTTTCACACTAATAAAGAAAGTGTTCTTTCTTTTGAATTTTGAGTGTGTGTTTTTTAAAATGTTATGTTAGTACTCATGTAAGCATGCTTCTTTTAATGCATTTGTAGAAACACCAAAATAAAGTTTTAAATTTGACATTCATTTGGAATTTTTCCTTGGGTGGGGGGGAGGAATATTTTATATACAACCTTTTTGACCTAAACTTAGTTATGGACCAATCTGAATTGAATTTCAGACTGTCCATTTTCTTCATCTGAGCTCTGCCAATTCATTTTCCAAAGCAGATTCCTTAGTTATTAATCCATGACAGTAATTCAAGCCCCACAGATCTCACCAGTTGAGCTGAGAGCTGCCCTCGTCTCAGGCTGTGGATGTGAAGAGCACTGCACCCCAAGTTGCATCCAAAGCCAGCACTCACAGGCGGCTGTCGCATGTCACCATCCACTCTACTAATTCATTTTAGAAAACCAGCCTCGTCGTTTCTCTCTTGGAGGAATGATCACTCATATTCTGTTCTACTTGGTGGCTCCTTTTTCTCTTAGGGGAGTTAGTGTGGCTCTTTCCAAGGCTGCCTGACTCACTGAAATTATTCCACCTAAGTAAGAAGAGCTGTTCTTCCTACTAAAAGCGGTTCACTTCCTGGCGCCTGGGGAGAGGGCTCAGTACACGGTAGATCATTAATATTAGCAGTGAAATAGAGCACATTGGAACTGGTAAGGCTTCTCCCCCATGATTATGGCTGCCTTTTAGAAATGAGAGCAGGGAGATGAGTGGCAATTTTGGAGTATGAATAAATACATTTTTTTTTCAGAGAGAAATAGCTCTAAGAAAGGATGTATCATTATCGTAAAAGCTTAGAGAGAGAAAGGGTAAGTAGATAGCCAGGGCTGCTACTCGGTCCCCACCCTCTCTTTTTTCCCTCCCTCCCTCCCTGAATTCAGCATCTTGCATGTACTAGGTACTGTAGTTTTTGGACCTCATATAA